AAATCAAGTTCGTTGCTGTTAGTATTGTAACTCGTATTTGGACCATTGTTTGACAAAGAATGATAACCGCTAACGCCTCTCTTAATATCCACATCAGCCACAGTCACATACTGTTGCAATATGTCTTGTGCAGTATGCAGAGGCATAGTTGTGCGTTGCAAGTGTCGTTGCTGTGTTGCATTATTGATACTAGCGCTGATATTTAGATGACAATTTTTATAATTGCATTCCGGCGTAGGTATTTGAAGCTGACAATTACTTGATTGTTGCGGATGTGTTTGGTGATGAGTTGGATGTAGTGTTTGCTGAGGTGTTACGGAATGTTGCAGCATTTTTGCGGTATTTGTAGTTGGAGTTGCAACAACCATTTGGTTCTGTTGCTGTGCAGCAGTTATGGTTTGCACACAAATTGAATTATTAGGCGTCAAATGCAACCGTCCTGCCATGTTGTTGCCATTAATTAATTGATTTTGTTGTTGTAAATGTTGTTGTTCTTGCGTGGCGTTCAACATATTAATATTCTCATTTTGCAAACTGAAAATAAGGAAAGTCAATAGTTAATAGTTATTTTACTAAATATTTTTTTTTAATGCATACATATGTATGTAAACAAATACAAAGCAGAAGGAAATGAAGTGAAAATAATAAAAAATACGAAACTTAAACAACCATGAAGTGTATGATCACCTAAACGGTGGCTGATGATTTTCTCCAGTGGCTATTGTGGTGACGTTGCCGCCACTGTTAATGTTTATATTTATTAAATTGGTGGTGCTTTGAGTTATTTGATTTGATTGTTGATGTGGTGAGTGCAACGCACCAACGTGCTGTATTGATTGTGTTGTGCTCGGTGGGTGATGCAACTGTAGTGCATGTTGTGATTGGACATTTGCTTGCTGCGGAGGATTATTGCGACGTATATCGTTGTTTGTGGCTTCAACAGAATTTATACCCAAAGCGCGTTGCGTGGTTGATGCTATGGGAGCGTTAGCATTACATTGCGTGCTTAATGTTTCAGCTTGTGAAACAGCGACTGCTTCTTCATATGGTGGCGGGGCTTCACCTCGTGGAAAATATCCACTTGGCGGCTTCCATAATGGATAATGTGCAGTGCCTCCAGCATAGGTATAGTCCACACCACTGAGATTACCTTCCATATAACCCATGTTACCAGCGATATATCTTTAAAAAATTACAACTATTTTATAAAAAAATATACTTTATAATTGTAATAAAATGTTATAACTTACCCTATGCTGCCCACAATGCTGCGTTGCTCTTCGGTATTTTGGCGACTTTCACGCGCGCGTATTTTACGTTGTCGTAAGCGATTGACTAGGAAAAATAGCAGCGATAGTGACAGAGTGGCTGTTATGCCACTGGCTACCAGTCAAATACCAAAATCTGTACTTCCATCGGTGAACTGGTCATCTAAGCAAATAACCTCACAGCAATTGTTTCCACTGCCCACTGTTTGAAATGATTTACATTTGCTGAAAGCTTCGCAGAGCCCCATTTTACATGCTTTGGGCAAGCCACTATCGCAAATACACAACCGACATGAATCTGGACCAGGCAAATAATGCATGCCTGTTTCGTATAATTTGCCATTATAGTCACGACAGTGTCCTCCAGGTACAATAACTGAACTGCCAGCAAAAACATCTGAAAATCATCATATTATTATTGACCACAATATTTTACTTTTTTTAAAATATTTCTTATTTCTTTAATTGAAAAATAACACTTTATAACAATTTACATTAACATTGTACGAATTATAACAGTTTTATTAAATATAGTAGGTTAAGTGTGACCTACTGGGATAAAAATCCCAAAAATTTTGTTTCAATTTTTGCCGTTAATAAAAGCGTTGCAACGCTTTTTACTTTATGTTATACATTTTAATTATATTTTTGCGATATTTATGAAAATAAAAACCATAATAAAAAAAATAAATATATAACATTGAAATCTTTCGTTGCATAAACATAGATTTATTTTTAACGAACGTAAGTATTTATTTTAAACAATTCTTTTCTAGATTAACTTTTGTGCTTCAAGAACAAAATTACATTTAGTGACCAACAAATTTGCTCTAATTCGATTTTTGCACCAGTGAAGAGATTTTAGTTTCTATGCGAGCAATTTAATTACACATGAATGTGTTTCGTTACTGCCTTTGCTTGACTGTGGAAAGTGCCACCACCCATTAACACGATACCAAATACACCTTGTCATGAGCAACAAGGACTTCGCACATTTTCTCAAACATTTTTCTAATAACCACTTTTAGTGCGTTTATGTAAGATATCTGTATGAATTATTATGTTGTGATCCCGACGCATATTTTTTACATTTTCTTATTTAGACATGTAGTCCTAATTTTCTTTCGTACATAAATTAAGGCAACGACAAAAAAAACGAACACAAAAGCTCACAAATGCTCCACTATATGATAAGAATAAGCATAAAAAATGCCCCATAAATTTAAAGGCTACCTCCCTTCACACATACACACAAACACACACACTGATGTGCCAAATGCAACACTAACTTTTCATCGTCAACGATACTTAAAAATTTATTTTAAATTTGCACTTATTATAATTATATTTACATCTAATTATTAGGTCAAACACAATAGTTATGCGTTATTAGAGATTGCTTAGACATTAAGCAACTTGTATTTGAAAAACACAAATTTTCTTGTTTATGTGTATGTATTATTCATGTATTTCATGAACTTAATATACACACAGAATTTTTCTATATATTTTACCTTTAAAATTATAAACGAAATTTAAAGCAAACACAGTTAAAATATACATATTTTTATTCGCACAGATTTTAAGAAATGTTTTTACAATTATTGAATTTATTTTGACTTAATTTTCACAAAACTTTTCATTAATTATTTTTTAATATTCCGCGGACAAGTATTTAATTCTATGGGTTTTGATAACTGAAAAACTTCTAGTTTTTCTCGTTCGTTGGGGGTAGTGTGTGTGCATTTTAAAATGCATGGAAATGCTAAAGGTGTAAGAGCGATAGCTAGCTATAAGGTTCACAAAAAATAAGAACAAACTAAAAGAATACCGAAATGATGTTAGATAATTATGGTAGATGAAAGGTTCTGATATATGTTATTATCTCATTTTATATATGAAGCATATTTTATTTTAAAATATTACATTTATAATGAAAAAAGTTGATAATTTTAACTTTTTAAAGTAGCTCTGTCTAGTGACAGTACAATATGATAAAAAATAAATGTTTAACTTTTTGGATTCTACAATAAGATAAAAAAATTTTGTTTAATCATTGTGGAAATTTCCTTGAAACTCTCTATCAGAATTGACAAAAACTTATTTCATAGACCATAATATTACAAAGACGTTTGAGACTGTAATATTATAAAGACGTCAAAGACCGTATTATAATAAAAATATTGAAGTTCTTCTGAAAGTTATAAAAAATTATATATCGAGTAACGATTCGTCTTCAGTTTTAGTACATCCAAATTCAAAAATTAGTCAATTGTGAATGTTCACTGGCAAAAATATTAAATACTATAATTTTTAAGTATAATTTTTGCTGCAATCAACGCGGAATCTTTTTTGTTGTGTCGTTCGAACAACGAACGAATTTCAATGCGCTATGTTTATATAATTATGGTTTTTGTCTTTACTAAAAATTAGTCAACTTTTTATTAATTGGTATAAAGTTTGATATTTTAATGGTAGATGGTGCTTTAAACCTCAAAATAAAACAAAATAATTGTTTTGTTCAGATTAATTTAGTACTTTATTTGCTTTTTTAATTTTAATTTTAATAAATTATATATAAGAGATATTATTATGAAATAAAATGAATTTAATTGAAAATTAAGTATTTTACCTAAGAAAATTTTTTGTTCATTTGAAATCGCTGCATCAACGTAAAAACAGTGTTAAAGTTCAGTATACTTGCTGTGCCAATAATTATGTTCATCACTGTATATACATACATATAAGTAAGACATTATCCATTAATTTTGAAAATATGAAGTCAAGTGTTTCTGCAGCTCTATTTCTATCTTTCACGTAAAAACCGAACCGAGTTTAGAGTTCAGACTAAAAACAAGAATAAGCAATTCACCGTCCGTTCGTTTTCTTCAAAAAATTGTTTATTTTTCTCACCCTCAAACAGCAAAAACAGTTAAAAATAAGTATTTAAAATTATTTAGAATAAAAAAAAATCAGAATAATCATATAAAAAGCGTTTAAAGGCCCAATTAAAACAATTCTAGACTATATATAAATCTCGTAATAGCTGTGGGCTTAATTTTACCTATTTGATTTGAGACTTAGATCCCGCCTTCAAGGTAGTCTAATCTACGTCTTGCCGCTGCTGGGCACTTGCATAGAATATGTTCTAATGTGTCATTCTCCTCATTCTTGTCGACAGAGTCGACAGAAATCACTTTCTACTACACTTATAATCTTCGTGTGGTAATTAAGTCTACAGTGTCCTGTAAGAAGTATAGTGTAGATTTTAATATCGTTTCTGCTAAGGCCAAGGATAGCATCAACTTTGATGTGTTCAGGATCAATGAATCTTCTAGACTTCCGCATGCCTGTTTGGGCTCCGCAGTGTTTAAGTAGATTTTGTTTCTTCCGTTTACATAATAAGTTATTTGTGAAGTTATTTGTTACCCCGCAGAAGGGTTCTGGTCCAATGAAAGGAGTAGCCTTTTGCACCCCTTTTTGCTAGGGAGGCTGCTCATTGCCCTCATGCTCTTCATGTCTCAGCACGCACATAAGAGTAACATAGTTCCTCGATGCTAGCGTATTCAGAACTTGGAAGCATTCCCAGACCAAATTTGACTGGAATAAAGAGTTTGCTAAAGACTTTAGAGCTACTTGGCTGCATATTTTAGTATAGGTACATGTTTTAGTATAATTTATTTAGTTTTCCTTTGTTATTTCCAATTCGATTTTTGAATATTAGGTATTTTAAAGATTAGTAAAGTAACAACAATAAAATTGTATTATTTATTAATTAATTAAATTTTTGGCTGACCATACAACTGTTTCGAATATTGTCAAATAAACATCTCACTGGTCTTGGAATTATTCCTTTTATTTAATTATTCGTAAATAATTTTTTAAGACTGCAACTGCCAATGGTTGAACTTGTGCCCTGCCATTTATGAAGCTCACAGTCAGTGTTCATTAACCAACTGACTCAAACTCATACTTGATCTTATGTTCGAAGTTGGAATTTTGTTAATTTACTTTGTTTGCTAATTTAATTTGTTAGTTTGTTAATTTTTATTTAATTAGGACTTTAACATCAAATTACAATTGCACGACGTCAAATACATAGCTGTGCTCAGAGGACTTGGTATGAAATTTAGATGTGTTTGTTATCTTACTTCGTGGAAGCACTCTCCCAAACATCAAAAAAAAGAACTTTTTTAATAAACCAGGTGTTTAAAATAAGTGTGGTATTAAAATATAGGCATATAGGTTTCTATAATTTAGTTCATATATTGGGTTTTATTGTTTATTTCTTATTATTACCTAAAGTTGTGTTTTTTTCCTCCTTCAACAGGAACAAAAAAAATTAATTTAATAAATATTTTTATGTATTTTTATTATATAAAACTTTCTAGAAAACTGACTAGACTGTGTTTTGCAACCCATGCTGAAAATCTATATCGCGTGTTGAAATCCAAGCTACGCCAAGAATATTATACCGTGCGTTGAAATCCAAGCTACGTCAAGAACATTATACTATGTTTTGAACTCTGTACTGTACTTTGAATTCCATACTAATAGAATAGTGTGTAAAATTAATGATAGTTTTGTTGAGAATTAGGATATAATTAATTAATTAAGGATACTAATATAATATTGTATAAATTAATGATAGTTTTGTTGAGAATTAGGATATAATTAATTTATTAAGAATACTAATATAATACTGTATGAATTAATGATAGTTTTTTTTTAAATTAAGATATAATTAATTGTTTATCAATTCTACGCTTAATAAAGAAGAAAATTGAACAAGAGTCGAGTGTAAAAATAAATTTTCTAGTAAGGACCCTGGCTGTGGCTGAACTGTCCCAGCTCTAGACAGCTTCAACGTAAAAAGGTTCATTACAATATATGTTTAATATATCAGTTCGATGATATATCCATCTTAAAAATGTTCAAGTATAAAAATTTTATAAAAAGCCAAAATTCAATAATGATTAGGGACCGAAAATAATTATTTCAAAAATTTAGAGAAAAAAGCAATCACAAAAAAAGTTTTCTACATTCTTATTTAAGGCAAAGAACATTTTGTATGAAATTACAAAAACAACTACCTTGTATGAAAAATGCATTTTATATTTTCATTTTATAAAGAGGTTTTCGAACAGAAGTGAAACAACAACAAAAATTTATTTTTTAAACTATTTTAATTGATTGAATTTTTGGCTGACCATACAGCTGTTTCGAGTATTGACAAATATCCTTCATCAGTGGTCTTGGAAATAATTCTTATATTTAATTATTCGTAAATAATTATTTTTGAGACTGCAAGTACCAGGAATCAAACTCGGGTCCTGCCAAATATGAAGCTCAGAATCAGCACACCTTAACCAATTGATCCAAAGCCGTACTTGACTTTTTATGTTCGCATATTTTTGCTGGAGTTTTGTTACTTTTGCTATGAAAGTTTTTATTAACAATTTTACTTGCTGTATTTATATATTAGAACGAAATCATAAACCAGCTGTAGAATAATTTAATTAATTAATTAATTATATTTTTTATTTTTAATTGTTAAATTTCAAAACTTTTCTATTCGTAGAGGCATTATTTGTTGCATGATTTGTTCTTTCTTATGTATAGAACCTAATCTAGGAACGTAATGCTGAGAAAGTCATGCTAATGTTACTCCACTAGTCGCACGGGCGAGAACCAATATTTATTGGCGAGAACCATATTTTTATGAATAAGTTGTAATTTAACGTCAAATTTCTCAGACGGAAGTGACTATTATAATTTTAATAGAAACTTGTTATATTTACATAAAGAGGTTTTCAAACAGAAGTGAAACAACAACAAAAATTTATTTTTCATTTTAAAAATATTCGACAGGCCAGTGCCAGTTATTTATGATTTTTATATATACCTATAACGCAAAAGTAACAGTTATTTGAGTGTTTTTAAATAAAAAGCAGAATTTTAAGAGTTATTTCTGCGCGAAAAAAGAAAAGGCACATAAAATAATTATTTTTGAGGAATATAATATAAAACAAATTTAATTATTAGTTTTTGAGTTTTTTTTTAATATGTTAACAGTTATGATAACAGTTATAAGGTGATTTTTATTTTTTAATGATAACTGTTACGGTCCCTGATTCTAAATATATTGTTGCCTAATGTAATATAATTATTGTTAATTAAGCGTCTGATCTATATCAATATGTCATTTTTGATTTAAGCGGTACATGTAAAAACAACATTGTAGAAGAGCCGCACACCCTTTCAGATAGGGCACGCGTCGTCACTGATATATTCATTATTATTATAATTATAATATATAATTTTAAATTATAATTATAATTAACACCTACTACCAGCAACAATAAAATCAATTAATTATTTATGAATTCAGCATCTTGAATTTAGAATATGTACTGATAAAAATGAAAGAAGACTTCACAGAGAATGACAACTAAGTCGTTATAGATATGAATTTTCATAAAGCTATCAAAGAATGTATGAAAAGTATAAAAGAAACAGTATCAGTACTCTTAAAGACAAAGAAAATAGTCTATGGACCGACTCAAAGAAACATTTCAACTGAAAATGGTAGTAACAAATGGTACAGATCAGATAAGCATACAACTGAAAGCTTTGCTAAATATTTAGAACTTAGGTTTCATCATCACAGCTTCTTTTCCAGTCTGAAGCAGGAAGAAGAAAACTTTTCATTTCTGCAATGTCTATGCCAAATGGATATTTATATTAAACACCTCTACCACTCAGGTAAGTTCAATTATAAATTAAGAAACTTTATAACAAAAAGTCCAGGAGGAGACTGCGATTCATTTGATGCTAAAGTAATAAAATGTTACTCAAAAAAATTATTACTATTCTATACTTCAGTATTTAGTTCAATTTAGGACTAAATTATTTCTGATTTTATAAAAACGTGTCGAAATAACCAAAACTTGTTTGGCAAGCGAGAATACCTAATTACCATAAGTTAAATCGCCCATCGTTCAATCAATTTGTTGGTAACAGTCTCAACCACTTATGGATTAAAAATGGATTAAAAAAAATGCAATGCATGTCACAATTTCAGTTTGGAGTTCGGTACAAAAATGGAACCATAGAGTTACTAGAGTGTTATGGGATTGTCAATACAATTATATTGTTCGGGTAACTTTTTAAAATTGCAATATGCTATTTTTTGACCGCGTTTGACATCCAGGCTTTTCTTTCTTTTACTTGAGTCATACTTAGGTGATCACTACTTCTATGTCAATATTAGTGACGAGATATCTAATATCCTTTTGATTAATGTGAGTATATCACAAGGCAGAGTTATTGGCCTAGTGCGATGTACCATACCACCATATACACACATGATATACGACAACTTCTTGTTTACACTATTTCAAGTGCGCTGAAGTAAACTTACTATTTATGCTGATTCAGTTATGATCACTATTGTCAATCTGTACACAGCATTCTTTGTTTACTTGATGAACAATGTTGTTCTTATGGTTCCTCTTATAGGAATCAACTTACATACGACACCACCACATTTATCGCAATAATGCAAATCTTAGCATAACTTACGCGTGGTTTGATTAGCTTTTGCTAGACACTTTCTAGTTCTCAATTTTGTCAGTAACATATCATAATGTACTCTATATCAAATAAAATATTATAGAGAATAGATTATTATTATTATTATTAAAAGTGTAGACGTGAAAATTGCCCAATAGCCGGTACTGCGGCCAGAAGAGTCCTATTGTACCAATTTCACTATTGATTACACAAGTTTCTTTAAAGCTTTGTGAACAAAATCTAGAACTGAATTTAGAGAAGAGCTCTTAATCTGCTCTGGTGACAGAAATTCCATATGAAACAGGTTTGTCCCTGGCTCTTATAAGCCTTGAACCTCCTCTTCTGCATTGAGTTCAGTTTTACAAAACCCTTCTGGTCATGTAAACTGATCCCTTTCATGCTGACATTGACAACGGTAGCACCTAACTGTTCGGAACAAAGACGGACTTCATCAATGTCAATAGAGGCAGCATCAGACCCTTCAGTTTCTGTGCTGCTAGCATCAGTGTACTGCGGAAAAACAACATTTTCCACAGGGTTTTTAGTTTTGCAACAGCACCATCTACAAAAGGTTCACTGACCTGTGACTCAACAGTCGACTGGTCGTTGTTTATTACCTGCCCGACAGCAGTAGTGTTTGATGCGATAAGGGTAACATCATCGCCTTTAGTTTGTATATTAAATGTATCCATAAGATATCCCACGAGTATTAGGGAAGTATAAAGTCGCCGTTAGCAGATCCCATTTACCGACAGAAGACAAATTGAAAGCGGAAGTCGCCTGGTATCCACATTTCGCTATTAAGGTCGTCACACTCGCTACCAAGTTCCTACAGGCATAGCTGTTCCACCGTAGATTGGGGAGTTGTGTGGGTCTCATTCATACATACCACACAATACATCCTAATTTAAAAATTTTATACTAGGGATAAAAACTACAAATTGTTTCATACCTTCAATCAAATCCAGGGTGTTTTCTTTCACCCCGCCTAGTTGCTGGCGACCTCAAAACCAGCAGAGACATGACCTAACTTCTTTGGGGTCATCGATCCTACAAACAACTACACTTCCATTAAAGGCCGATCGATTGACTGACGAACTTAATGAATAGCACCAAAATGGAAAGACTCATCTACTCCCCGAGACGCTTGGATGTTATAGTAGCATTCGGATCACGTCAGTCAGCATACATAAAATTACACAAGAAAACTACTACTACACATGAAACTACTACTACTACTACTACGGCTACTACATAAAATAACACAAACACAACTACGTGAAAACATAGACTACATGACAACACAAAACTACCTCAAAACCTAAAGGTAGATCTTGGTTGTACATCTCGTTCTAGAAACGATGAATATTTTCAGTTATCTGACAAATGCCAGGTGATTGCAAATATTCATATTTATAGTCCGAGTTGCAGCTAAGCCCCTGCACCACTTCAAGGTACCTACCGCGTAGGAGATAGAGAATAGATACAATAAATAGATGAAAGATATCTTTAACAGCAAAGAGATCATGTAAATCTTTTACGAATTAGCCTTTCAGTTAATATTACTGAAACAATTTAGTTGAAAAGATTTTACTGTCTAGACTTACTTTTTGCGCGATAGATATCTATTCAGTAGTAGTAGTAGTAGTAGTAGTAGTAGTAGTAGTAGTAGTATTAGTAGTAGTAGAAGTATTCTTCTTTATTATATATATGTAATATTTACATTTACAAAATTAACTTTATACATTTTCAATAATATACAAAACATAAATATTATAAATATTATAAATAATAGAAGGGTTTTCGAATAACAAAGAAAGAAATAAAGGACAAACACAAAAATTTATTTTTAATTTTATTGAAATTTGGCTGACCATACAACGCTGTTTCGAGTATTGCCAAGTACTCTTCATCAGTGGTCTTTGGGAATAATCGAATTTTATTTAATTAGTTTATAGTCCGTATATAATTTGTTTGGACTGCAAGTGCCAGGCTTGCCAGGCTCAATAAAATTAAAAATAAATTTTTGTGTTTGTCCTTTATTTCTTTCTTTGTTATTCGAAAACCCTTCTAAAAAATTTAATAAAGCTTCTTTGTCACTATACAAAGTAAGTCTAGCTTAACAGCAACACTAATACTTTATTCAAATATTATAAATAATTATACTAAAAATAAGTAAAACCTAACTTAATTGACATAAATAGTTTCTAATTTTTCCTTATACGATTATCGGAGGTTTGGATTTGTGTTTGTTGCTTTTCTTCATTGCAGTAACTATCATATAGGTGACACATTGAGAACTTCAGCCTATGAGTGTTAGAAAGTTTCTAATATAATATTTTCTCTACACCGAATTGCCGTTTTCACATAGATCGATAACATATGCCATGTTTCATCATTTAGCAACCTCATTAACTCGTTCATATCTCACGTATGTTTTCTATAATAATGTACCCGTAGCTTCATTAAAATTGGACATTTACTAAGAAAATGTATTACATCTTCCTTTTCTCCACTATTCCACAGGGTGCATCTCGTGTCTGACGAGTTAATATAGGGAGCGCATTTGAGCTTCAACAGTTCTCCTCGAGTTTTGAAAATATATCCAATTGCTTCAGCACTGAAACGTTCGGCGAAGTATTTGTTGTTGCCTAAGTCAAAATTAAGTTGTCTGTGTAAAACGCGAGTTAAGCTTTGTCGACTTTCTGCTACGAACTTTTCTCTAAACGCAGTACCGATTTTTACTAATACATTTTGCTGCCACTGCTTCCACGAATGTATGTTGTCGAATATCAGCGTTTCGCCCACGGTTTAAAAAAGTGGCTCTTTTCTTGCAGTAGAGATATAGCTAAGATTTTAGGTAACCGCGAGCTTTCCATGTTAAAAACTTTTAACATGTATGATAGTCCTAGGCCCTGCTACACAGCGAATAGTTGATACCTACATATTTAACTTAGTATTTGGTGTATACTTTAATAGTATAATATTTGACTACTTAAGAAAGCTTTATTTAACGTTGCTGATGTTTATAAATAAAAATAAATCACATTAACAAAAATAAATTTTTACGTTTTTGTAGTATTTATAGCGGTAGTGGTCAACGTTTTAATACCACCGTACATGTATAGAAGAACTACAGCCCACAGACTCTGGGTTCAAAATCCAAAGTTTGGTCTAAAAACAGGCTTCGAAAATTTTTTGTAAAAATGCTTGGTGGCTTTATCTCAGGAGTAAAGATTTAAGTACTTCTTATTCTTATATACGTTAAAATGCAGACTACAAAATCTACATAGAGGTTTAACCTTATCTAGTATCGTTACTAACCTGAGTAATTATTTTATATTTATTAACAAATAGAGACACTAACAAATAGAGACGCTAAAGACTTCTACACCATTTATTTTTATTTTCTATTCGAAATTCGAATGAAATGTTGTATAGGTATATCCAAAAATTGTTTGTTGTTTCAAATTAATGGCAAAGTTTAGAATAGTGCTTTAAGGTTTGTGTGCTTATACTTACACTATAGTCTTTTTTTGAATATTAACGATCTTTATCCTGTTTGCGTTACAAAGTCTCACAGAAAAAAAAATGATTTCATTTAAAAATTTGTGAAAAATTTGACGATCAACTTTGAATTCAATAGAACAACGATATATATATATATATA